CAATAAAAAGATTGATGAGAATTTATTTCTTTAACTGTCGACGTTTAAACTATTTATTTAAACAAATTTTACCTTAAGCCCCCTAAATATAGCGTAAAAAGTTTAGCTGTACCAAATTTCACTTATTTGTTTTTAAACGTTTAGAAAATACCTATAAAAATGTGTCATCAGGATTTAACTTTTAACACCATGTATCTCGGAAGAGAAACTTTTTCGGACCTATGTTTATATGAACTTTTACTCCTATTTTTGCACATAGATTACGCTGTTAAAATATGACCGTCTATTTTCGAAACACTCTGTATATATATTTTTTTTATTGAAATGTATGATAAAATTTTTCTTTGCTTTTTTAATGAATGTTGTATTGTACCTGAACCATTTATAGATTTATCAGCCATTTTATCTAAACCTAATTGAACTAAATGCTTAAAACTAAGAAACATTATAGGTGTTCTCTCATGTTCTAATTAGAGAATTTCCAAATAATTTCAAGCGATTTCTAGAGACCAACTATAAGAAAATCTCAGATCTGTACGTCAAACGGTTCCTTAAATAAGACGGGTGTCCTTTATTATTTGGATATCTTGTAGATAGATTTCACGTGCGAAGTGCGAGTAAGGCTAAACCTGAAAATCTCGCAAATGGAATGTTCTACATAGACCTACCAAGAGTACCCTTTTTGACAAATTACATGAAGACTGTGTAAAATAGTCCAAAACTAAAATTATAGTCACCCCTCAACAATAACAAAATTTCAGACGTAATAGCATCAGCAGAATACTTTCAGTCACCTCAATTAGTATTTTTGTGACGTATCACTCCCACTCTTTGTCAACAGCAAGAAGACACATTTGTAGTCAAGGGCTGGTAACTCAAATGAAAAAACATGAGGAAGTTAGTTTAGTACCACTCCTTTCAACGGGATGGCGCTCGTATCTAAATGTCAGTTGTCAGCTCGTGCAAAACTTCAAAGTTCAAACTTCAAAATACAAAAAATTAAAATGGCGGTTGCAGTTGAAAGTGCATTGTTGCAGTTGAAAGTGCATTGGATTTTGATTCATCTATAAATATTTTTCAATACCTTCTAATTTTAAGCATGTTTTCAAAAGATGGGTTGCAGTAACGAACAGTAAAGCACTCACAGATATTGATAGTGACTGACTCTTCTAGTTAGGTTGAGGAGCATTTATTTATTCGATAATTTTTTTATTGATTTATTTGTACAGCACTTTTAGTTTATGAAATTTTTATTCATCCTCTGGGCACTGTGGTAAATGAATTTACCTTTCGAGCTTAAATTAAACTTACACACGTTTGAACCCTTTGGATTTTTGGATAATTTTGGCACTGAATCAATTTTTGATATTGATGGCTCAGGTTCACAGATTTGGTCGATGTAAGGGTATTTTTGAAGGCCAATAATTTCTTTACGATAACAATGATTATTGAAAAACAAAAAACAAAAAGAAATTAAAATAATAAATCATTTATTTTAACACTAAATCAAAAACAAGTTCGTGAATATTACTTACCATTGGTGCCAAACAGTGCAAGATGAATTTTTTCTAAACGCGCTTATTAAAAATTACATATTTAATATGAGGTATAAATTGTCATGAGGAACATTTTATCCACACTCAAATTCGCCTTGTTAGTGAAATACCAAAAGGATGGCGTTTCAATTTCAATTTTTTTTAACTTATTTGCCACTTCAAATCGCAAAACTCGTATTAACGTCTAATGCGCTATACATGCTGATTTTGTCACAGAGAACATTTTTAATAGATTTGTTTTATACATATTTAATTATTTAAAAATTGTAAATGCATATTCATATTTAAATAGGCAAATTATATGATGCAGCGTTAATTTACTGTAATAAAAATAACATTTAAATAAAATAAATTGCATTTTATTTCAAGTATGAAATTAATGCAAAAATACAATGAAGTAAAATCAAATAAAAATATAAATTGGCAAAATATGCGACTAGTTTCAACATACTTTCAATATACTTTCAACATACTTTCAACATACTTTCAACATACTTTCAACATACTTTCAACATACTTTCAACATACTTTCAACATACTTTCAATATACTTTCAACATACTTTTAACATGCTTTCAACATACTTTCAACATACTTTCAACATACTTTCAACATACTTTCAACATACTTTCAACATACTTTCAACATACTTTCAACATACTTTCAACATACTTTCAACATACTTTCAACATACTTTCAACATACTTTCAACATACTTTCAACATACTTTCAACATACTTTCAACATACTTTCAACATACTTTCAACATACTTTCAACATACTTTCAACATACTTTCAACATACTTTCAACATACTTTCAACATACTTTCAACATACTTTCAACATACTTTCAACATACTTTCAACATACTTTTAACATACTTTCAACATACTTTCAACATACTTTCAACATACTTTCAACATACTTTCTAATTTGTTAATAAGTGTGTTTTTCTTGTCCTTTTCGGATATACCATACACATTTGATATATGGATAACATGTTTATTCTTCAACATAATGTTTTTTTTTTCTGTTAAAAACAATTATATTTTATAAATCCTGAAATTTTTCAGATAAACGGTTCTCGAGATCAGTAGCGTAGTCAGAAAATTTATAAAGCGGGCTTTTAAATTAAAGAAACAATAGATTAACTTACTATTTTTTAGATTACAAGTATTTAAATTTACGTAAATGTTTTTTTTTAAATTATACTTACTGATCAACCTTGGGGGGGGGGGGGGGTTGACCCCACAACCTGCTTTGAATATACCCCTGCTTAAGATGTAGTTGCCCTTAAACGAGAAGCGACTTTTTTTATCTTAACCATATCAACAATAATGTAATCTTCAGTTTCTTAAGAAGTACATCAGATCCGATTTTCTTCGTTTTGTGCAACTCGTCAACCTCCCTCGAAGAAAATGCGTCCCGTCTTCAAGAATTTTTATTCAAAATCGAATCTCGGGATTGATCTGGACAAGCAAGCAGATTTGTAGCGGACGTTCGAATTTTGCAAGTGGATTTCGTAACGGCCGTATCGATAAATAAATTCGTCTGAAAGGTATCGAGATTCAATGTTATGCGATTCTCCACATGCTCCACGTTTTCTAAATATTCAATTGACTCGAGGAATTTTGTTACAGTACCTAGCAGTGGCGTAGTTGTTTTTTTGTTGTTGAAAATAGATGTTTACATCGGAAGACTTTTTGAAATTGCAATTGTTGCTATGCAAGTCAGTACATCATTTATTTTTTTTTTGTGTCATCGGCATCAACTGCTATGGTTATTAGCCTCGTGTTCTGTGTAGGCTTTGTTACTGTTTTCCAGCGCCACTTTAGAAACAACAATGTTAATTAGTATCCAACAGTGAATGGTCTAGTGGGGAATCCTACCAAGGCATCAGAATTAATTTTAAATAATTAAATGAAAAAATCCCGGCCAACGGTGGGATTCGAACCTGGGACCCTTGGATCCGCAGGCAGAGCCTCTAGCACTATGACACCCACCCCTTTCATCATTTATTATTATAATCTAAGGATAATGTAATATGTATTGTTTATAGAACAGTTAAGAGTTTGTTAATAAATATTATAAAATGTCATTGCAGTATTTTTCCCAGAAATATAATACAATCACAATAACACTATCACAAATTAAGTCCTTATCGGCAAGAGGCCATATGGAAGAAGAAGAGAAGAAATCGTAGGGCCATTGAAAATTGACTGTAAAATTTACTCGCGCTAAATTGAGATTTGCTCACACAAACTCCGTGTTTTGTCAAAACCAGATTTACACTACATAATATTTAAATTTACCTTTAACTTCACATTTATTAACGAGTATCCCTGTATTTGACTGCACATTGTATTAAAGTGAAATTTAAATTTATAGGGTTAAATCAGTACTTCACTTTTGATTAGGGGCAGCACTAGGCAGTAATAGGATCTTCACAAGGAACAAATTCGAATGAATCTGTAGATATATAAATAGACAGATTTAGTAAGTTTTAAAACGTTGTTTAAGAACCTGATTATAAGATATCTAACATTAAAATATTACAACAATAGTTTCTGTTTACTTTTTTTATAAGGTACTTTACGTTCATCACTGAAAATAAATGGTACTGAGATTAAATAATTATTTGTCTTAGTCTTGGAATCCAACAAAGTGATAGATAGATATTGCATATAAATATCAAGGTCGGAACTTATGTAATACAAGTTCTTTTTTATTATAATTCAAGAAACACCAATTAATATATTATATTTTAATGACGGCATTGAAAAATCTAAGAAGAATAGCTGGGAAATCAATAATGGGACAGAATTTATTACAACATTTACAGAACCAAGAATCAATAATGCACAACTAGTTCAGTCACCTTACAAGAATAAACCCACACGAAACAACAAAGACCGACGAACCAAAGTGATGTAAGAAGATGAAAAAAGACAGAGATCACGAAAAATAGGAAGAGAAAGAGTCAAAGAGAAGATGAAGACAGATAATGAGAGGGGATGAAAAATCAACAATGAAAATGAAAATTCCTTACAGCCACTGATTATAATTATATCAGAATAATAAATTTTTGGTTCGGACAAATTTTCTTATTTATGTCACGCTGACAATGCATATAAATAGCCATTCAAAGCGATTGTGTTATTTAAAAAATGCACAATCTAGACAACCTTTCTGCTTAGTCCTTCAAGGACTTGTATATTATGTATCTCTTCAACTACGTTTGTTTTAGCAATGTCTCTATAACTACTATAACTAGAAATAGCTACCCATAACCCACAAGCGGACATCGATTTATTTATTAAGATTAGTTTATATTTTCCAGATTTTGTATCAATATTAACTAAAAATATTTAATATGAATTAATTTTGACCACCCTTATACTATTAAGCAAAATAAACATTTTTTGACATTTAATTTCTTTTCCAGGTTCTTTTTGGCTCCAAGATGGCAATCGAGGGCCTGCCTTTGCACAGACAGGAGCCCGATAGCGATCAAGACATCCTTGCCGGAGCTGACTTCCTATCAGTCTTCTTAGAGTCATCCCTGAGAAGAGCTTACGCAGAAACAACTCCCACTCCCACTCCTCTCCCCACCACCACAATTCTCGTAGCTGTAGAAGAAGAGGCTCCAATTTATACAACCAGAAGAAGCAAAAGAAACTCCCACAGTCCTTTCCAGCAGCACGGCTCTTTGACTCAAAGTACAGAACAATTTAGTGTTAGTGACTCTAGTACCGATAGAGATGGGGTTGTAGCTATTAGTGTATCTACATCAGTTGGAAGATCTACAAACAATATCTACAGAAGAAGAACGACGGTGCAACCGTCCCCAACGTATTTCTCTTCGGAACAGCATCCTAGCTTGGTAGCGAAAGCTAGTAAAAGTGAACTCAGTGCGGAAGAAAGTGAACCTATAACTAAAGATAGTGAAGTAGCTTCGGACTACAGCAGAGGCTACCAAGCTAGTGTAAGAGTTATACCAGATTTTGATCAAACTTCTTCATTCATAAATCAGAACTTACCTCAGGGTAACAAACCGTTCCAGCCAACCGTTATTTATCATGATAACTCCGGAGAGGTTAATAGTGCTAGATCAGTATCATATAGTTCGATAATACAAGCCATACCTCAAATACCGATAGAAGTAGATAAATCAGAGCCTCACGAAAGACGAGAAAGGAATTACAATGATGCCAAAACTCCGTACTCTAATAGTTTCGATAGTAGCGAAGAAAAGAGAAAACAAAACGATACTAGACCTTCGACTTGGCAAAAAACAGATCCGGTCCAACAAAAGACGACGCAGAAACCGTGGCAGAATCAAAGAGTGTTTACACCGACGACACCTCTACCGGTCGAGCTGCCGAAGGTCTATGGTCAACCAGAGCAGAACTACGAAGTAGACGAGGCTTTAAGCGTGGTGACTAACGGTAGGGCTCACGGGGTCCAACCCACCAAACCAGAGAAGAAACCTGACGATAACCAGAAGTTCGGGTATGTGGTGGAAGGAAAAAATTACAGAAAGTACAGAGTCGAAGAAAGAACTGCCGATGGTTTCATTGTCGGCGAATATGGAGTTGTTAGTCACGATGACGGTTCTTTAAGAGGTGTTAGGTACACTGCTGATGGTACCATTAATCCGCGGTTGATTTCGGAAGCTCTGATGAAATTTTTATCTCTGTGATTTTTTTGTTTTACTCTGGTTCTTGCATAACTTTAATCAATGTTCTGTTTATATATTTTGAGATTTGTGAAGTAAAGAATGTTGTCACTTTTAATAAACTTAAGATAATCTAAATCACAGCTTGCCACTGCTTAATAAGGTGCGAAAGACAAGTTTTCAGCCCTTTGTAAACTAGTATGCCTACACAAGTCTTAAAATATGGTTAATTGTTAAAAAAGAAACAATGCAACAATATTCTTACCTAACCAAAAATTGGCCGCGTGCCTTGCGCAGCGTCACTGCGCGGACGTTAAATTTTAGGATATCGTTATAATTACTTATTTAATAGTAAGATCGAATTTACTAACGATGCAATTAATTGCTAATTGTTCTTAAATTGATTAAAGTTATGTTCTGGTGCTAAATATACCGGCTGTACTGAAACTAATCTAGTTCCTGTTTTATTATTTTTTTAAAGTTTTCTGTTAACGACCTTTTTTTTAAATAAATCTTGCCTTGTTGGCAGAAAACTTCGAAGCCAATAACCTCTGTTTAATTTAATTATTCGACTTAAATTATTCAAGAGTGGCGGTTTTGGACAATGAATTGCACTGATCGGTGCTAGGCTATCGAAATAAAGCGTATTTTATTTTTTAAGTTAATATTTGCTCATTGTAGGTAAATTCCAAAAAAAAACTGATGTTTTATATTCTAATATTATTTTAAATGTAAGTAATATAATCTAAATAAAAAACTGTGTTTTATTTTTGTTATTACTTTTACGACATAGTAAGGTAAGTAGAAGAGAGGCCCATATAGAACACATTCACTAATATTTCCATAGATCTGAAGAAAAGTGATGGAAATCTGTAAATATGGCAACGTCGCTTTGCATAAGATGCACCGGTATGTACTCTGCGTATTTACTCAGAAACTAGGTACCAAATAGCAACACTGTAGCACCAATCGTTATTAGCAAGCAGTGTTCCAGTCGTTACGGTAAGCCCAAATCACAGACCTTTTATATATTGTTTATAGACAGTACACTCAATGTATAATTTTCGTAGCTGATTTCAGCGCCCTCACAGTGGTGGGGGTTTAAACTAAACGATGGCGGCAATTTTTGAATGTCTGAATAATTTTTTGGAAGCACGCTTTGAACGTGGTTATTATGTGTGCCATTAAAGTTGAGATTTGATTACAATAAGCAAACAAATCGTAACTATAATGGTTTAATCATGTTTTGGTGCTACATTTTTTTATGAAATGAAACCATTTATTATATTTATAACGATTTATTTATAAAATGTAAATTTCGGGTATTATTTTAACTAAAACTAAAAATAGCTAAAAATAAGGCAATAATAATAGGTAAATGCAAAATATTAAGATAAAATAAAAAAGATTCAAGTGTTTTCATTTTTTTTAGTTTTATCTGGTTTTTATTATTTCTTATATTATAGGTATCTTGTGTTAGCAAGAAGACGTATTTTACCATTAAAATAATGTAACAACCTGGAACCGGAAACACTTACACTTTACAATCATGACTGAAAGTTTATCCATTATATCAAATGTAATGTAGTCACATTAATCCTTCCTCCATGTGGTTACTGACCAATGTAAACCGAAACTAATCGCGACACTGCCTATTAAATAAACTTTATGCTGTGGTATTAATTTTGTGCTTTATTTCCATTTCACTATTGACTTTCTGTTTCCATTTTATTATTTAACAATCAGTTCAAAAACAAACAAATCACTCACAACATTCATAAAAATAATAAAGAAATAAGAAATATTTGTGGTTATGTAGGTATCAAGTACACAAAGTAGGCAGTGTTGTCACGGTCAAATGGTGATAATTCTCATCACTTACCCCGAACGCCTGAAGTCACCAATAAATGCAATAGTGACGATGAAAATATTTTAAAACATGACTTTTCAGCAATAGTACTTACCACTAAATGAAAAACCGCAAAAACGCTATAATCTTGCATTAATAAATTATAAATCAATTCATAAAAGTTCATTAGTTAATTAAGAATACCCAAAAATCGGGTAAAATTATTGCTATTGGCAACGCTGCACAAGCGTGTCCTATAACGGTGACGGTGGCGACCTCACGACGGCGGGGGTATGAAACTTAACACGCATTGACCTTGACGGTAAGAGTGGATACACTGTGGCCCAAATGTTCAAAGACGTTTGATGGCAACACCGCATCAGCCTCGGCGATCACAGCAAAGAAATAGACAGCGGCGGCAACGTTAGGATGCGGAGGGCTCGAACACTGCTCGCTATCAATGTTCACTTCTACAGTGTTGCCATTCGGTATTAAGTTGCTGTAGAAATTTGGAAAGTTCTTACCGGTATATCTTCATAATTTTTTCCCAGATATGGGGAAAATTAGGGAATGGCTTTGGGATTTTTGGATAAACCCAATTAGGGCTAAAAGATATTTTATCAATATCTCAATAAACTGTGTAAATTTAATTAAAATTGGTAGAAAACCTTTTCAAGACGTTGATAAAAAACATTTTTTTTTTTAACGGAAAAGAAGAGTTTTCAGATATAGGTAAGTTTATTAGGCACATTTTTTTATTCTGATGGACCCTATCACCTTTAAAAATGTGTCGGTATATTTACGGGACACCCTCTCCCTCTACCTATGCAGTTTTAAAAAATATTACTTTCAGGGGCCAGCGGACACTTGGCCATTAATATTTTTACAAATATTTAGGTTTCTGAGGGTGGTCAAAAAAAGTTTATTTGGTGATCAAGGATAGTCAATAGGTGATCAAACGTATGCTGCTTCTAAAACAAAAATTTTGGAATTTCAGGGGGCCAGCTTTACAAAGCTCATAAAGGCCTATACTGAAATTCATGAATAAAAACTGCTGACAATTCTAAAATAAATAAATAATTTTTGTCTACCTCTTTTCTATAAAACATTCATTATACTTGTACTTCCTTAAGAATAATAATATTTATTAAACACGGTATGACGCCATACAGTGAATAATGAACCATTATTCACGGTATGACGTGAAAGTATGTTTAAACTCGAAAATGTTATTTATATTATTTTCTAGGTTATAATATGTAAGTAAAATAGTTTTTAGGGCACATTTTATACATATTTTTAATGTAAATAATGGGCAATTTTTTTGATCTTAATAAAAAGTAATTTAAAATCTGGATCTAACCCCAAAAATGTGATTAAAATCACCAATTTAAAAAATTTATAATCCTATCACCGGTATGCTAAATTTAATTATCGTGTTACTAGTTATCAAAGTATTGAATATTACTTAAATTTGCTATTTTCTATTAAATATTTATTAATTTGCTTCTTATTGTATTCCAAAAACAACAGATATATAGGCAACATATTATACTCCACCTAGAGTACAAAATATGAAACGCTAAATCACAAGGTTTAGAGCATAAAAGGATTTTTCTACTACCGTGCGTAAAGTACTTACTTTACGCACTCCACGAAGTGTGTACAGTTGTACTTTTTTTCACTAGTGCGTAAAGTAAAACTCTTTACGCACTAGTTAAAAAAAGTAAAATTTGACAAAATTTGTACATAACAACAAAATATAACGTTTTATTTTATATTAACATTTTTTTGCTATCTCCTTCTAAGACAAATAAATAAATTATTTTTGCTTATATCTATTTAGTGTCCAACAAATTATCAACCGTTTATTTTAATTATAATTTTCTCTAAATGTCATCGATTTAATTAAAAGTAAACATACAGTGGATGTCGATTTTGGTATAAAAGTAAGTTGGCCGTGGCTGTGTGGATTAGAAGAACTGTCAATCTCTAAACTTTTAATTAGTACCTACCTTATAACAGAAAACGACAAAAGTATACTTAAGTTCAAGATTAGATTCTAAAGCATTTTTTTAAACTCAATCAAGTTTGAGAGGGTAAAAAGTGTAACTTTTTAATGTTTGTTTACTTAAATTCAAATTTTATTTGCAGTTTATTATATCTGTCATAATCGATATGGATTCAAATTTATCTAGCGATAGCGAATTTGATAATACTCCCCCAGATATCTTATGCAGTGCACAAAAGGCCACTGAAAATTAATTGCCAGATAAATCTGTATATATTTATCAGCAAAAATACAATGCATTTATAGAATGGTGTAGGAAGAATAAGGTGACAAAATATTCGGAAAACGTTATTTTAGCATATTTCTCTGTTGAATTGAAGAATTGCAACGCTTCTACCCTATGGTCGATTTATTCTATGCTTCAAAGTACCTTAAAATATAAAAACAACGTTGATATTTCGAAATTCAACAAGTTAATAGCGTTTCTCAAACAAAAAAATAAAGGTTTTTCAACGAGATGTGTGTTCGTATGGTGTGTTGCCTAAGAAAATCAGTTGCTGTCCTAACAGGCCACCGGGGTTGTTAGGCAGCACATTATACCTAAAACTTTTATATTTTTTACAATAGCATTTATTTGGAGTTTTACATGCAATATATTTCCTAATGTTTAATAAATTATTTGTAACATTACAATGTGTTATTTTTTAGGTAGCTTTTATAATTGGAATTGCGGGAGCTTGTCGCCGGGAAGAATGATGTAAAATGACAATTAAGATGTGTATATTGTCAAAGTATCAGAAACCAAAAATGGAATAGAACGCATTTTTACGATTTTAAATCCAAATAATTCTGCAGTTGATTATTTATCTTTCATAAAAAAATATACCTCATTAAGACCATCAAATATAAATTGTAACAGATTTTTTTTAAAACTCGCAAATGGAAAATATTCTAAACAGCCTGTAGGGATAAATACTTTTGGTAAAATACCAAGTGTTATAGCAACGTATCTAAACTTGCCCAATCCAACGGCTTTTACAGGACACTGCTTTAGGAGGTCTTCAGCCACTATGCTGGCAAATTCTGGAGGAGACCTTCTACCGGTCAAAAAACATGGAGGATGGAAATCATCTGCTATTGCAGAAGGCTACGTAGACAGCACAATAACACAAAAAAACAAAATTTCTAATAAAATTTTGATGGATGACAGTATGCCATCCACTTCCAAACAAAGCTATAATTTTACCGTTGACAACTCTAATGAAGAATTAGTGAAACCACTCGTCAGCGAAACTAGAGTTACATAAAATATTTCAACCTCTTTACTTGAAAAGGCCAAATCCATACCACTCGAAGCTCAAAATAGGGTTACAGAAGTAATATCACAATATTTTTTAAACTCTGTGCTGGAAAAGGCTAAAACCTTAAGTTTTGGTAATTGCAATAATTGCACATTCAATATTAATATTCATAAGAGTTAAAAACCTATTTTTTTAAATATTTCTTCATTTGTTAGTCATTTTGTTCTGTAAGAATTATAAATTTGTAAAGTTCCAATAAATTTATTTTTGTTGCTGTGTACAATTTTTGGCACATTTTACTTTTTTCACTAGTGCGTAAAGTACTTTTTTTCACTAGTGACAAAAAGTAACTTTTATATTTCTAATATTAGTTACAGAAATTAAGATGTTAGAAAATAAGTCTTTTACACATTCTTCGTACTTCTATACCTCGAAATATTAAAAAAGCATCAAAAGCATAACTTTATTCAGGCAACACATTTTACGTTGTGTACAGAAACGTCGCATATTGTAACGAATCTTGGCATGCC